TATATTTTACATCTCGCAGTAGTTTTTAATAATCACGACCTCCGTGTTGACAGCATTGGCTCAATTATTACTTTTTTCGCAGCATGCGAGGCAAAAACGAGTCCTACGCGCCTACTATACATAATTGTGGAATCCTCGCTCTATCCAATTAAACGTCATTAGTTAATCACATCGCCGCAACTTAGAGTAAGCGGTGAGCGACGCTACTGCAGCTCTAATTATCTCTAATTGTAAGTCCCCATTAGCGCGCGGGATTTGCCTGTGCTTTCCTACAACGCGCTTTTGAGACGTGTATGGATTTTTGCGGCACAGGACAGAGTTAACTCATCTTGATTTTTTAAATAATAGAAATGCAGTAAAATAGTGTTAAAATAGACGTGGTGTGCTCATCAGGCGACTCAATTTCGTTCTGTTTGCGCATGACATCAGCAACGAACTAGAGACTTTCGTTTTGACGCAAACAGTAGCGGTATATTGTATATATTACAAAATAATGATGCTACGACATAAAACATGTAATTGCCACATTTATATATGACATGAATCGTGTTTAAATAGTCACTTTAAGTATATATAGTCTAAACTACGCCTAAACATAAACATAAACTTAAATATGTTGTCAAGTTTGAAGTTTGAAGAAAAGTTACCTTTTTGCATAGTACAAAACAACTGGAGATTATTAGAAAAACGACAGAAAGTTGCATTTTTATCATAGATACATGACACTAGCCTTGTTCCTTAGTGACGTCATCACATATTGTGTACACACCACGAAAAAGTGTACTCGAAATAATAAAAATAAATAAAAAATTATATTTCGACGAACGAAGTATATTTCGACCTACGTTTATATGAAATTTTTTTCACAAAATAACTTCGGCAACCACCCCCTAAAATATTTCGCACTTATTTATAAACACCCTGTATTTTTTATATTGTATAGGATTATAGTGATATTACATTTGATGATAATATGTCTCGAATAATAAAAGAGATATGACCGAAAGTTCGAAAGATTATTGTTAGAGATAGACCTGTCAACCCTTACATCATTGTAATCCCGAGAAACGTTCGAATATATAAAACATATACAGAGTGGTCTATTTAAAGATAATACAGGTTTAACAGATATATCCGAAATGCAAAGTTAAATTGTTTTTCTATGTACTGTTTCGAAGTCACATGAAAATTTCTTATAGCTGTTTTACATTGACAATTTATTGATCAATTAATTCATGAAGTCGCTTCATCAAGAAATTGGACAAGTGTAATGCACCAAATCTGCTGTCAAATAAATAACTTCATGAATTTATTCATCAAGTTCTTGACGAATTAGAGCATGTTCTAATTTTCGTCAATTTCTTCGTGAAGTTCGGAAGTACCAACCCAACAAATTTCCAGCCTCAGATCAGTAATGAGGTTATGTTATTGGAATATGTAAATAATTGTGTGGCGTCGTGCTAGTTTTGCATTGTTTTTACGGATTTGTTCTTACAAAAACTAATATTTATACCTATAATATGTGTTAGAACGGTACCGCTGTTGTATCACTACAGTTATGAGTAGAAAGGTGACATTCTTGAAATTTATTTGCTTCTTTGATTCATTGGTAGAACTGATTTATACGTCAAAAAACTTGACAGTCTGTAGCAGTGTAAAACCACACTGTTTACCAGTGAATTAATTCATGAATTAATTCATGAAGAACTCCGTCAATTTATTCATCAATAAATTGTCAATGTAAAAAAGCTATTACAACTCTTTTTGTTTGATACAAGAGAGTTTTAAAAGCCCTTACATGTTCTGCAGAGTAAATTATTAACGTTTTCTTTATTACGTGAATACAAGAAACTTTTAAAAACATTTATTTACATAATGATTCATGTTCTAGTTTTACTCAAAAGCTGTAACTTTTATTGCAATTTTCTAAAAACAATATGCTCATGCACAGTATTAAAACAAGCATACTTCAAGAAACAGATAAAACGTCGTTATTAACGAAAAAATGCAACTCATTTTTTTGTGACCGACGAATAAAACTTCTGACTGATTTAGAAAATATATTTTTTAAATCATTGTCAAAATTGACCTCTCCATTTGAATTATTTGGGTCAATTTTGGCTAAGGAGGACTATGTACATGTTTGTCCTTGAATTTCACAGTCGAATTAACACATACTTTCATTTAAATCATGATTTTAACCTTTAAAATGTTTTAGGGCCACATCCACAAGTGAAAATCTATACTTATAAAAGTTTTTTCTTAAAAATATTAAAATATTTATTATTACAAATATTATTATAATATTTATAAGTAACAACTTTTATAATTATAGACTTCCACTTGTGGATGCGGTCCTAAAACATTTTAATCGTGTCATATATTAAATAAAGGACACACGGTATAATATGACAGTATACATATACTTACACACGTCTAAAGTACAATGTTGCACTTCACTGGGTTCCTCATCTTGCATTTAATTTCTACTTCACAAAGAACGGTGTAATTTTAGTAGTCACGGTGACGAATATGAATGTGAATATAAAATATCTGAACATGCATAAGTAAGAAGGTAAGTACGAATTCCCCTAATGGATGTTTTAATTACTGCTAGAGCTGCATACTGCTGATATATCACCAACAGACTAGTACCGAATGCAAGATATATTCTATTTTAAAATGCTAGGTTTACCGAGTTTGCAACTTCAATTAAGAAACGATTAATTTAAATCCTTTACTTGTTACCTTTTGACAATATAAGAGTTTGAAAATGAAAAGGTAATTTTTACAAAAATTATTTATTTTTACCAATAATTTTCTAGGAACTGCACATTCGTATATTTACTGGTAAGAACAATAAGCGAACATGAAATAAATATATTTTTACTCTATTTTAAAACTACTTACTGAGTTAATTCAATTTCAAAATTTTACTTGGATTTCATAATAGTAAAATATTATTTAAAAACAAATAGGTATAATATAACCTTATAATATTTATTAACAATTTACAAGTTACGGAATATTCATTGGACAATAAAAGTACAGAAATTATTATCACATATTTATTTGAATTTATATAACATGTATTAGAGTGTCCCAAAAAAAACCGATTTTATTTTTCGTGTCTCTTGTGAAAATATGTTAGTTTATCATGTTTTAAGATACCCTCAAATAATCAGCTCTAAAAAAATTTTTTAGAGGTCGCTTAAGATTTTTAAAAATTTCCAAAATCGTGAAAAATTGATTTTTTTTAAATTTTTTTACTAGTTATTTTATCATTTTCTAGGTTAAAAAAAATCCCGATTCTGAAAATTTCAAATCGATATTTTAATTTCTAAAGGTCACTCATAATTATTTTAATTTTCAAAGTAGTGTACCTACGTTTTCGAACGACTTCTAAAAAATAAATATCAGCGAACTAATATATTTTTTTTTATTGAATTTGATGAACAAAAGATTAGAAATAAATCACGAGACACTTAAATTTAAAAAAATTAAAAAATTATAAATATTTGATACTCACAGTGCGGTAGTAAATTTTGCCTCGAGAAATTTTAAATTTAAAACCATGAAAATTTAATTGTAGTATTTTACATAAAAATTTTGTAACAGTTGCTTAAAATATGTGATAATTAATTATCTGCTTAAGAATGGCTATTAATTGCGATATTATATCAATCTAGAGACTTCAATTAAATCCTTACAGTGGCGCCTCAGTTGTTAAGTAATTAAATAATAATTTATGGCGGGAATTTTAAAATGCGGACTTTCTCTTAATTGTTCTAGTAGGAATTTAACTTTTACCTGTCCATCACAACTATATCGAATACTTATATCTATTCCAAACACACACCACAAAGCATATAACCATATATGCTTTGTGATGTACACGTTATTTGATAATCAACGCGTTTCACGAAATAAAAAAAGGAGAGAATAGCTTCGGGCAAAGTACCCACGCGTGAGTTGAAGGTATATTTGTATACGGTCCTCATTGTGCGGTTGTCCTGTCCAATCACCGGTTGGCACTGACATGCATTCAGAAAGGTGTGGACAGTCTTAGAGTACTTGTCAAACATCGTGTCACTCAAATAAAACACCTACTGTATACACTGGACAGATCCCTTTTAACGCGATTCCTTGTGATAACAATATACCAACAAGGGATCTCGGGCCTTACTCTTAAAGAAAGACGCGATAGTATTGATTTGGCCATCGAGATCATGTTACTTGAGGGGGCAGTTTTAACCCAAATTTGTGGGAAAACTGAAGCCCCATGAAATAATAGCTTTAAATTGTATTTTTCTTGAGTTTGATTTGGAAAATATTACACGAAAACGCAGAGCGTAATAAAACATAGACATTGTAAAGCTATATACGTTATTTGTTTATATTTTTAGACCTAATGTTGAAAATTTATTTTCACAAATATTTATAAATCGTAAATTTTTACTCTGAAAACTTCCTCTACCTAAATATTTAAAATAAATTTAGTAATTTTATAGGGAAATGTTACTTTTAAAAATTGTCATCATATAAAGGAAACGTAATATGTAGTTAAAATTTGAAATTAATTTTTGCTTCTTTTTACATACTTAAAATTATGTTTTCCATATCAGACATCTGAATAAGTAAATTAAAAACAATTTTTTATAAAATGACGTAAGGAATAGTAAAGAAGTGTACCTAAATTTATAAATTTCTAAGAATTATACTCAATTTTAAATCGTCTTACAGTCTCACACTCATAGCTTCCTAAACATTTTGACAACTGCTGGCGTGGCGACCGGCGACCTCTAGTTGTGATATGGCAAACCACTGCTTCACTAGCGGCATCTGTCGGTGGCTCTAAAAACACTGTTGATTCTTTTGGACAGGGCAGAGGGCGCAACATATTGTGCAAACTGCAAATTATAGTAAACTTCATTGAAAACTTGAAAAGTATTATTCCAATTTTGTGCATATAACATAACCTCATTTATTTTCTGGAAAATATGGGCAATCCATTTTTAAACGTTGTTTAATTTCAATGATGTTTACCAACGTCTTAGTGAAAAAAACTGCATTTTCTTACATTCTACGAAGTATTCATACAACTAATGCATGTTCAGAAATACAAAAATTGACTAGGCTTCGAGTAGTAGATAACAGCGAAATAGGAAAACAGGCTATGGCTGAAGGAAAACCTCCGAGATGTATACATGTTTACAATAAAACGGGAATTGGAAAAATAGGTAAGCTGAAAATAATCTCTATTTATGTAAAATATATATGCTACAGTTGAAGTCTGTTGGATAATATAGATGTCTTTCACTTTTAGGAGACAAAGTTTTAGTTGCTATAAAAGGAGAAAAGAAAAAAGCAATTCTTGTCGGACTTAAGCAGAATCAAAAGACCAAAATACCTAAATTTGACAGCAATAACATAGTCTTAATCGACGACAATGGAACACCGCTAGGTACTAGAATACACGTACCGATACCAACGATACTAAGGACTATTCTCAAAGACAAAACTCAGTCCAAAGGTGCAGATTATACAAAGTTGTTGGGTATCGCTTCCAGATTTGTATAAATTTTAGTCTTTTTTTAATAAATTATATCAAATACCCTTAGTTTTCAAACAATTATCCATTTTGTTTTTAGACCTTATCATTTAATCCTGGCTCGTAATTTTTCATGTATTGTGATTAGCCCCAAAAAGTGCTCCTGATAATGTTTCCAGATTAATTCTATTACATCAACAGAATATTACATTTTAAAATGTACAAAAGTACAGGAAATGTATAACAGTAAAACAGCTTTCGTCGATACTGTAAAAATATATAATCGAACTGAAAAATTTAAATTGACTAATTTCAATACTTATTTATAGGTTTTTAGAATAATTCGTAGTCTTCCACTGATCTAATTGCACCTCTACAAGTAACAAATTCAGTTTGGGTGCCATTCGGAAAGATTCTTCTTATTTCACTTTCTTTGACCTCAGATTTTACCAGCACCTTATTGCCCAGCTGAAAATTCATCGTTAATAAATAAATTTCAACATTTTTCAATTTCGTTTATTTACCATCCAGTCCATTGGTGTTTCAACCTGCGGTATTCGATCACATATTTGCATAGACTCTAATACTCTCAGTATTTCTCTAAGAAATAATTAAAGTTGTAAAAAAATATTTAAATTATATTTAAAGTGGCGATGGCACCAATTTAAAATTAACATGTTCTTACTTTGGATTCCGTCCAGTCGTAACGGGATACCGCAGCATAAATCGTAGCTTGTGTTGGGGATCAATTATATACAACGGCCTAGAGGTCAACAATTTATTATTTTCGTCGGTGAATCTATCGAACAGATCCAGCAATGTAGCTAGCTCTCCGTTCTCGTCTGCTATGATGGGGAAGTGCAGGTCGTTACTCGGTAGATGCCGACAGTAAGAAATAATGTCTTTAACCCAAGCTAAATGCTCTTTTAAGCTGTCACAGGAATGGGCCAGAAACTTGACATTCCTTTTGCTGAAGTAGGGTTCATAAACTGCAATTTTTGATAACTCTGAGGTACACACGGGGGTGAAATCTTTTGGATGTGAGAATAATATAACCCATCTGTAATATTGGAACACATTAACAAAACATTTTAAGGCAATAGAATATGTTAATTCTGTTATAAACTTAAGTATTTTTTCTCTGTTTTAAAGGTTTTATTTAAAAAAATGCTACCAAGTCGAACAATGTTCTTTGACACCAAAAATAATAAGACTTCTTAAAGAATTAATAAAAGTTAATAAATAGAGCAAAATTATATACATATTATGTAAATATCAAAGTTTTAGAAAAAATTACATTTTAAAATCGGCAGATATTTGTGTATTATTAAACAAAACGTGCTTTTAGTTAAAATTTTGGCACTTATTTCGGGGACACCCTGTGTAAACAATTTTGCCCAATAAATGTTATGGCTTTAATCAAATTAATGTTGTTTTTAATTGAAAGTAGATAAAATGTCAACTATTTTCCAATTTATGCAATCAAACACTTACTTATCTTCTTGCCATTCATAGAAATTGATATTGCCCTTTGTTGTTTCTGCAGAAAAGTTAGGAACGGTGTCACCCAGTCTCAGAGTAGGCATTTTTATTTTAAATTGCACCTTGAGAAATAGTAAAATATGCACTAAACTAAGAAGTGAATATGTATTGATAAATTTGATATATATTTTATCTATGACCTTCACTTCTTGGCGAATGTAAACAACAAATAGTTGTTTGTTTTCCATTCGTATTATCAACTTCCCAAGAATGGTTTTTTTTTTAATTCCAAAGGTTTATTTATAGAAACAGAAACATTAGGCCTGCTATTTAAAATTTTGAAAGCCTTATGTGAATGAACTATTGATAGTTTTTGTTTGTAAAGTTTAATGTTTTATTTTATGGTCAGTTTATTTCTATTTCCTCACATTCATTGATTTCTTCTATTTCAAATTTCATCGACTTATAATGAAACATTTTTTTTTTTCAAAAAGGCAAAGTTGAGAATTTTGCGACTTGTGGAACCTGGCCAACATTTCGGTTTTTTTTGAGGAACCCCCCACACCTAAAAAAACATTAGTTTTCGCACAATTGCAATTTTAATTTTTTGGTGAACTATTTGGCAAAGTTTCTGGATACGTTGGAGGTGGTCCGATTTTAATTTTTCAACCGGATTTTAAAAGTAAAAGTATAATACTACAAACCGTATATTCTAATTTTCCGATAAAATAATGAGGAATAGGTGAAAAACTCCTTCAAACATGCTCAAAAACGGCCGAGCGCGCTTACGCGGTCGAATAGTGCAGAAAGATCAGGAGATGAGGGGTAGTGGATATACAGGGTGTGCCATTAAAACTCCCACTGCCAATATCTCTGAAATCAAGAAATTTATTTTAGTTCCGGAAACTGGGGCTGTTAGGTCCCTCGAATATCTTTAAATTCTAGTTAGAACTGTTAGTTCAAATCTTTCTATATAGATGGCGTGGCGATACTAAAAAATTTGTTGATCCCTGAAAGGTGGAAATGCTCAGACCGTTGAGTAATTTTTATAATATAAAGTTTTTCTCAATATTTACTTGTTTTCGAGACATGTCGACTTAATATGCAATGTATGATGTAACAGGAAAATCTATTGTTTTATCTAAATCACACCGAGACAAAAGAATTTTTAAAAAAATTATGACTTTTTTGACATTTACGCGAAATCGTGAATTTGAAAGTTTTCTTACAAATGTACTTTTCTGTTCCAAAGAATACATATTTAGGTGTCTTTTTTAAGGAAATTTTATCATTTTGTATATCACCACTTAAAATTAATTAATGGTAAATTGGAGTAGGAAACATATGAGCATATATCTACAGACTGCCTTTTATATGATGGCACAGTCCGTTTGCTACTAGTATTTTTGTCACAAACAAAACCTCTATTGATTGGCCTATTTATGAAGTTTTTATTTCACTTTAAAAATCTAGGTGGCTTTGGAAGTTGTTGGCATGTCAATTTACGAGGAGCGTCATCAGAATGCCAATACTGCATCCCAGCTGTGCAGGGTTCACCCCCTAAGTGTTGGTTTGTCGCTCAACTATTTTGAGTATTTTCTTTAAATTCAAGGCACAACCCCCGGCCAATTTAATGTAAACTTGATTTTTTAATGTGATGTTGATAAATTGGCCCGTTTTCTGAAAATTGTGGGGAAGAGCGAATGAAACTCGGACCAGCATTGTAATAGTTTTATTGAAATATTCAGAATGGTACAAGCAACACAACATAATTATGATTGAAGCACGTACCTAACCATAAGTTAATCTGTGCATAAATTTAGTCAGACCAGACCACAAAAAACATCGTAAATACAGAAATATTAGGACATTGAAATATTTCGTTATCTCCTCGTATGATTTGTGGTACAAAAACATCAGAAAGTTGTTTTCCTAACAGCTACCCACGACAATTTTGTGAATTAATTGATTGCTTAAAAGTAATACTGAACCGTACACACACTCATGTTTTGGGCAACTGCTGACGGAAAATACAGATTTCTCAGCCCCCATTCTGAGCCTATTAACAGAGTAACATTATGAATAGTATTTGATAACGATAATAGTAAACAAAGGTATAAAAACAGGTCTTTACTAACACTATTATAATAAAGCCAAGAGTGAATCTCGAAATAAATCTTGTAATTCAATAAAGATAGTGGTAAGTGTAAATAAAGACGAGGCGATGGAGAAATAAGCTCAGAACTAGCAGAGGCGGTAGTGCAAAGAGACACGAGTCACAGTTCGAACGTGCCTGTTGCGAATCTCTATCTTTTACTTTTTATGTCTAAAGTATAGCATTACGATAGTATTACCAATTTATATAAATACAATCACAGTAACAAATGGGAACCAATTAAAGAAAATGTCAATTTAAATCAATTATTTACTTCACATCCATCCAATAAAAAGTAGACTTATGTAATACATTTAATATTAATATAATTCTATCACTACACCCAGTCTTACTCCGACTTTTATTAATTTGTATACAATCTCGAATCGGTTTAATTCAATTTACTGTGCCGATAAACTTTCATCCTTATCGTGATTTCTTTATAGGATTTCGTAAATATATCTCAAAAACGCTCGATTAAATTTCCAAACCACAATTCAACATTTCATCTATTCTTTTAATTCGGGGGAGAGCAACCGACAAAACACCTTTAATTTAGAATAATCGTTAAATCCCTTTGAATTTTATTATAAATTTTTTCCGTTTTGATGAAACAATTTCAGTTAAATTTTAAATTCAATTACCTAATCATCTAGCAAAATTAAGTGTTTTTGTTGCTCTAGGAATCTTAAGTTTGTAAAATCAAGTCGGTGGCGAATATTTTACAAAGTCAAGAGTTACTCAATTATAAGAATACGTCCGTAACAGTCGTGAAAATTTCTACGAAGACCATAACCTTACCTATAACTACAAATAAGCAAATACTCATTCCACCTTACATAAGTCTCTCGGAAGATAAAATTTCAATCAAACGTTATTGGTTCAGTGCGAAAAACTTAAATTATTTTCCTATCGTGTTTACTGGTTTTTTTTCACTGGTTTTTCAATCACGTGCTATCTTGGAAATCTACCTTACGGAGACCCTTAACAACCTTTCAATATTTCCCTACCAACATATTTCTTCTAAAATTCTAGATTTTTCTTATTGATTACTAACGAATAGCAATGCAACGCATCGTAAATCATCTCCAAAAAGTAAGATTCCTAGCGGGTACGTTCTATAACGTATCCCGTTGACTGAGTGTTAAATTTCCTAAAATCTCTCATTGGATGATGTCAAGCAGAGATACAGTTTCCAATAAGATGAGTTATCGCCCAATCAATTCCATTTCAACAATCTACTATCAAATTTCCTACTTCCCATTATAAACTAATAAAAAAGCAACCAACCCCTCTCCTCTCGTACCTTACCTAACCTACGCTTATTACTTGTCTTTATCGCAGTAAAATTATTTGTTAAAAATTTCAGTACTTTTGTCAAACGGCTCCCTGAGCCATTTTCTGTTTTAAAATAATCCGTAATTGGTTCGGTATCAGGCCCGGCAAAAATATTAAAATCGTTTATAGACCAGGACGGATCTGTTTTGAGGTGGATGTGAGAGGGGGCAGGGAAATTTTTTCTAGATTACTCAGTACAACTCACATAATAAAAGTGTAGATCGCTAGATCTGGGCGAGGTCCGGAACATTTTCAAAATTGCAAAAATGTTTAAAAAAATTTTAAAAATTCCTATTTTATGTGAGATTTTTACTTATATCTTGGAACTTATGCATTTTGGAAGAATATTTAATTAATTTTTTTATTATTATTTGTTTATTATGTAATGTAAATTAACGGCAAATGCCGATAAACTTTGACTATTTATATCTCAAAAACAAATAAACGGAATTTAATTTTTTTCTTTTTAAAGGAGTGTCTTTTCGAGTACTTTAAAACTTTAATCCTTGAAAAAAACCAAATTGAAAATTGATAAATGTAATCCAATTGTTTAAAAATAAAAAAAGTGTTACCTTTAAAAATTTACTGTGGCCGTCCTGATCAACCGATTTCAATTTTTCAAAAACCATTTGAAAGGTTGAGAGGTCTTTTCTATGTGAAAAAATGTTCAAGTTCTAGTGATGCTTTATTTTAGGCCGTGCAACGTTTTGAAAATTTGAAAAAAATTTTTAAAAATTTCTTTCAAAAAATTATTTTGCAAAAACCATCAAACCGATTTTAATGAAATTTGATGTGTTGTTTTATTATACCCTAAAGTTTTTTTTTACCAAAATTAGAATGTCATCGGAGCAATTAAAATATTTTAAAAAATTATACAAAAAACCTGATTATTTTGCCTTTTTTTCATCAATTATTGCTATTTTGCAACATCGGTAATAAATTTAAAAATTTTTAACTTGCACTAAATTGTGCAAAATTTAATTCTAAAACTTTTTTTCCTCTTCAATAATCTTCAAAAATGCATAAGTTCTAAGATATAAGTAAAAAACTCAGATAAAATAGGAATTTTTAAAATTTTTTAAAACATTTTTGCAGTTTTGAAAATGTTCCGGCCCTCGCCCAGATCTAGGGATCTACACTTTTATTATGTGAGTTGTACTGAAATATTCCAGCAAAAATTAGCTTACCCCCTCTTACATATCAGAAGTGGGATATTTCGACAGATCCGCCCTGGTCTATTATAAAAGTTACTATTATCACATTATATCTGTTAAAGTGTTTCTTATTAAACCGTCTAATAAAGCTTATAATATTTTTCCACTAAGCCCACCATACGTTACATATCGTTTCCTTATCTTTAATCATCTGATTTTATCAATTCTTACTTATATTTAAAAAAAATTGAAATAACGACAAATGAAAATTAAAGGTTTTTTTTTAATTTTCAGGAACAAATAATTATGGGCAATATCTTAAAAATGTTGCGGGTATATTTTTTTAAGTTTAGTGGCGCCGATAAAGTCAGACGATTCGACGAAAGGAACATATTCCTGCCAGGCGTGATTCTAGCGATAATTTCTCGATTAAAAAAAAGTTTCCAAATAAAAAAGTATATATATTATGTTCTACTATGATCTATGTGTGTCCTGGTCGTAAAAGAACCGTCATAAAACTATTTCTCTAGGACGTAACAGAAAACAATCGTTAATATATCCTTAAACTTCATCGTACGTATACCAAATTTTCAAAGTTATGTACAAGATGCAAAGATAAACCGTATGTAGATTAAAAAAAAAAAAGAAAAAACAACAAACTAAAGATGATAAAACGTTCTCCCATGCATTCAGATCGTGCGCTGAACACAAACTAACTTCTAGATTTTGTCGCTGCTACGCGACGGCCTAAAAAATATGTACAAAAAAAAAGGAACAAACAATTCACTATACTTTCTAATATTGATAAATATATTTATATATGTTTTTGGCGTTTCACAAAAAAAAGAAACTTTACTCTTTTAAGTAACAAAAAAAAAAAAATAAAAAAATCGTCATGTTTAAAATAAAAAATTGAAAATCGAGAGCCGACCATTGTTGCGTATCAATCCACCAATCAAAAATTTTATAACATGTTCATTGAAAAAGTATACATGCAATTAATAAAAACACTTTGAATACGAATACAATTTTTTAAATACCACGAAAGCGCTCGACTGTCCAGGAGAAATAACGATTTGTTGCTTCGTAAACTCTTTTTTTTTACTTTATACTTTTGGAACTAGACATTTATTTAATGTTGCCAAATCGTTATTCCTCTCAGCAAATGTAAACAGAGATAAATATTTTATATACAAAAAAATTTGAAATTCTTCAGAACCTCCAGATTAGAAACGGTCGAAATGGAAGTCTGTGCCAAATGCCCCAAATAATGTCGACCCGAAGAAGAAAGTGTTTAAAAAAAATATTGGGAAATTAAAATTTCTTTTCTTCAAACCGTTTATTTGTATTTGAGTTTAAATAAAAAATTCGCTCATCAATTTTTGTCACATTCGACACCGAAATAAAATAAAAAGTAGGCTTTGATAAATGAAAATGAATAATGTGTTATATGAATAGAAGAGAATTTCAAAGAATTAAAAAAATACCTGAATTAAATCGGTCAATAAATTTTTTACTGGGTGTTCTTTTTTCATTTCAAATGGGTCACACTGTATATAATATAGTTGCATCAGTCAAACAAAGGAATGAAAATATTAGATAGTGATCCATAAAATCCGTTTTTTTTTTAACTTTTTACTGAATTTTTGTTCCCTAGCAGAAAATGACGTCATCGTATCGTGCCCCGAACTAAATATTTGTACACCTGTATTAGACGAAGGGTAAATATTACAAGTTTGAGTAAATTCCAGTATTTAAATTTTGTGAGGTTATGATTCCCAAATACTATTTTTTTTTTGTTAATTCCCAAAACTAAGAAAATTGTAACAGCACAAAAAGTGTAAATTTCACAATTTATAGTAAAATCAGCGAACGGACCTTATGAAAAAATAGTGGCGGGATTTTATGGAAGAGTCGCCATCTAGTGGTTTTGTTCCTAAATTTGAATGATTTTTATTCAGAAATAAGCCTGAATATTTTTAGAAAATATGCTTTTCACTGTGCATTTACGTTTTAATTAATCTTAAACGAATAAGCTATAAATATTTTTAAAAAGAATATACATTTTACAGCTACAATTTCGAAAACCTAATGGAAAAAAAATGTAAAGAAAAATCGCAACATAATAGTTATTCGAAAAATGAACGGTTAAAAAAAAGTGTTTTCCTTTAAATTCCTGATTCAAAAAAGAACGAAATTACTAAAATTCACAAATTATACTTTTCCGAAAGTTTCGAGGTTCAAACAAAAAAGCATCGGGAGTAAATTAAAAAAGCCATCATCGCCCAAACAGTAATTTTATCGGTACTTACATTATTTATTTGGCATTAACTTCCATTTTCGGCGGAGGCCCTTTCGTCTCGTCTAATTTATAATTTAGAACTAGGTGGGATCAACATAATAAAAATCAATCAACAACATATCCACATTAAAAGGCCGGCCTAATGCGTGTTATAAACATTGCGCAACGTCGTCTAACATTTGCTATGGGTCGGACACGTCCCGATGCGATTATTTACTCCTGCTTTGCCTGTCCGCCGCTCGGGGAGCTGGCAAAGTGGATGATCTTCGATCACGACGCCTGCTTCACCACTATCACACCTGGTCGTGACTGCTGGTGCTGTTGTACGGTCGCCGGGTTGTACTCCAGGTAGGCCTGCATGTCGGTCTTGATGATGTTGTCGGAGCTCCGTGTCGTCAACGCCAGGGGTACTTCTTGGGTCTGGGGTTCGTCGCCGAACATGTGATCGCCCTCGAGGTGCCTGATTGCCTCGACGATGGTCTCGAGGTTCTGCCTGGAGGTGTTGGACACGTATATCCTGCTGCTCTCCTCGTGAGAAGTGTTGGGGGAGGGCAGCCTTTCCACTTCCACCTTAGGCTCTGCTTTGATGGCCGCCTCCAGGACGGACGGCAGCCTCTGCTGCTCCGGCAGAACAGTTATGGGGCTGGAACTACGCGAGTTCGGCGGGGAACAAACGACCGTCTGCGTGTGGCCCACCGGCGGAAGGCTGTCCGCCGTCACCAACTGCAAACCGATTTCCTCGGCTTCGTCCACGTGAAATATCTGGGTCGGCTGCTGTTGCTGCTGGAAAAGTTGAGTTTCCAGCTGACGGACTTGATCTTCCAGTAGCAATCTTAGGTTCCTCTCTCTCTCTAACTGCCGTTTCAGCTCGGATGGGCATTCGGCTGGATTGTTGACCGTGACGGTGATGAGGCCCACCGATTCTGGCGACATAGATCCCAAACCCTCGTCGGACGATTCCGCGGAAATTGTTGGAATAATCAGTTCAGTCTTTCTCTTCTTAGGGGGCAGCTCGCCGCCCTCGTGTTGGTTCACCAGCCTCTTCAACTGACAGTTTTGGGACAGCAACCTAGTCTTTTCTTGCTCCAACGAATAAATATATTCAGCGGTTTGCTGGAGTATTGCAGCCTGCAAAAAGAGAAATAAAAAGAGATAAAATACACGTAGATCGCTAAAACTGGATTATTTTTAATAACGAGCGTTAAAATAAAAACATGGTCAAGTTGGTTCTGAAAATTTGGACGTAGGGAGTAGCGTATAGCAAATGAACTTAAACGTCATCTGTCAAAGCGCTATATCGCCGCTATCAATTTGAATATTTTCGTTTTAAAAAGCGTTTAAAATGGTGTTTTCTCAAGAACAAAAAGTGTTTATCATAGAGTCCTACTTTAGAAATGTACGCAAGATTGATGGAATATGGAAGTATTCTATTGAGGAATGTTTCATAGAATTTCAAAATCAATTTCCCGGCGTTGTTGAGTACAAAATTTTTCAAAGTGCAGTTCAGCGTTGTGTTAATGTTTTTCGTGAAACGGGCAGTGTAACAAGAAAAGAAGGAAGCGGCCGACCTAAAAAGCGGACTGAAGAATTAAAAGAAAATGTCCAACAAATAATGGAAAATGCGCCAAGAACTTCTGTACGTGTTTTATCACAAATGGTGGGAGTATCAGTCGGTACCTGCCACACAGTGTTAAAAAAAGATTTGCGTTTGTTCTCCTATCGTTTAACTTGTCAGCAAGAACTTCATGAAGTTGATTTTCCGCGACGGGCTGTATTTTGTGAATGGTTTTTAAACAACTACGGTGAACTTCATAATATCACCTTTTTTTCTGATGAAGCCTGGTTTCATTTAAGTGGTTACGTAAACTCACAGAATATGAGAATGTGGTCTTCTGAAAAACCAGATAACTTTTTTGTCGAGGGCCCTCTACACGCTCAAAAAATTGGAGTTTGGTGTGCTCTCAATCGAAGGAGGATTTATGGACCTATTTTTTTTAATGGTACTCTTACTGCGCAAAGGTATAGAGAAGAAATTATCGCTCCTTTTGTTAACCAGCTGGAAGAAAACGAAATTACAAACTTTTACTTTCAACAAGATGGCGCAAGGGCACATACGGCAGGCGAGACGATGAATATGTTGAGGGAAGTTTTCCAAAATCGACTAATAAGTCTCAATGCTGAACATGAATTTCCACCGAGGTCATGTGATATTACGCCGTGTGATTTCTTTTTGTGGCCTTACCTTAAAAACACTATTTTTGAACTGCCTATTCCTGATTTAAACCATCTGCAGGCTCGACTTATAGACAAGATTCGTGAAATTAACAATACCCCGAGCATCTTAGAAAATGTCTTTAATTCTTTGAGGAACAGGTGTGAAAAGTGCTTGGAACAAGGAGGGGGACACTTTCAGCAGCTGCTTTAATTTATTGTTATAACAAGGAGGGGGACACTTTCCGCAGCTCCTTTAATTGTTTGTTATTGTTATCACGATTATTCTTTAAAATAAAGTTATATAGTCATTAACGTTATTGAAACTGACAGCTGCTATACAGCTCGTTGAGAAATGAGGTTAAGTTGGTCGCTATAAGCTACTCCCTACGTCCAATGTGTCGGAGCCAACTTCGACCACGTTTTTATTTGAACGCTCGTTATATTCAGTATTTCTATTCACAACAAATTATTTTTTTTAAAGTTGTATGTCTCAGTATATTTTAATGATACTAGATATAAAACAGCAATGGCAAAGATATTGATAAGTGTATAATATTTAAAGAGAACTTTCATCATAAAAATATTCGACCAAAATTTATGGTGTAAAAATTAAAATGGTGGGAAATTAAAATATTTCTAATGATTTTGTTACAAATTCAGGTAAATCGATATAAAACATGAAATATGTATATTTCAATTGCATTTTATTGAATACAGTAAACCTTAGGCACATCACGAGTACTAGAAGTATAGCTGGTTGCATAGATGTGGATTATTTTCCGACATTTTACTATTATTAATACTTTTATTTTATAAAAATTATTTTAGAGAACATAAAAATATTTTTGATTTTATTCCAAAATTAGATAAATAATTACACTGCGATAATCAAGTGCTCGAGCTAGAAGCATAACTGGTTGCATAAATTTGAACTATTTTCCGACATTTTCTTGTTCTTTTCTTTTTCTTGTGAAAACTTAGTAATTAATAAAACATTATGACGTCGTAATTAGATATACATTTTTGTTGGTAGATTATTTTACTAACAATACTTTTTATTTTATAAACATTATTTCAGTGGAAATGAGAAAATTTTTCTAATGATTCTATTACAAAATTAGCGAAGTAGATATAAAAAAAAAACATTCAATCGATATTATCCGATTATTTATATCTGCGTCTTATAATTTAAAAAATAGGGATCGATCTCGTAATGCTTCGCGTCGTGGCTGGGCGCCGTATAAATAAATTTGCGTTTGCGTTATTCAAGTCTAAAGCACAAAAAAGAACCGGTAATGTAGGTTTGTACTATAAAACATCGTTGTTCTAAAAATAGCCACATTCAGATATACGCAAGTGTTGTGTGTTGTCAGGCTGTGCGGTGGCGCCCCTCCCGAGATGCCGCGTCGGAATGCCGCACTAACAAAGTTATGCGGCACTCTTGCGGTCCCGCAAGTTTCACGCAAGCACGAAAAGTAACAGCAAATAGCAGAGCCACGGAGAGGGAAAGATAAAGAATGCCTCTTCGAAGCCCATATTTAAACTCCAGTGTTTTTGTTAGTATTTTTATTTTTACGCCTATATGAATATCTGTGTTAAGTTTCGCATTTAACTATTTAACTTAGAAACTCTCGATAAAGAAAGAATTAACCTGACGACATCAGAGCACAAATTAATCCGAGAACGATTTTGATATGTATTGAGCAATAAAAATATTTGTGATTATTAAAAAAAGTATCCTTTATCTGCCTCTTTCCCAACGACATTTATCAATCGGACGTCGTTTTTTTTTACAGCACATCAATTGTGAATTTATTTCTATGGGAGGCGTGCAAAATCTATTTTAAGAAACGACTACGCGGTCTCGGGTCTCGGGTCCCACAACACATACATTTAACCTTGGCCACGAACGGTTGGTTGGCGCCAGAGCTTGTATTATTTTCCCCGGTATCAGCTGTTTTTTGCATGTAAAACAACCGTCTACATTTGCACACAACCGCGACATCGGTACAGCACGGATATCGGTATAATCTTTATGGAAGTTCTGTTATTAATATTTCCATCACGTATCATTGAAAAGTGTAGAGTTTAGGCTTAATCCCTCAGCTTCCAGAATCTCAAAGGAAATTATGTAATTTTTTTCTACACGGAATCGTTTCCAATGCACGTAAATGAATTTACGTAAGTATCAAACATCAAGTTAGCAGATAGATTGGGTTCAAACGCGAGAAAATATTTGAAACATAAAATGAGCAACCATCAAGTCGTCAAATGCATCTCATCACACCACACCACACATCATTCAAATTAGGTCAAGCCATGTCGAATGATACACCAAACCCCATTGTTCAAAATGTTGGAGAGAATGTGTTGCTTGCTCTGTACTGGAATATCTGCGTGTATAACTAAATAAAACAATCAAGGGAATTTTTGTTTCAAGATACCACATTCGAAAAAAATCCTAGAGAAATGTAGCGTGTCCTGCCTCGATATTAATATGTATGAACTTTCTAAAGATATCGAAGATTTAGTTGCAGTCACTTTTCGAGAGATTTGTGCTGCACACATACATTTCACTGCAAGGTGTAATGTTCCTTTCTCAAAAAGATCCAGATCAGATACATTTCACCAAATACTTTACAGGGTTACTAATAACCAAACTCCTTCATCTTTGTTGCGTAAACGTCTAGAAATAATCTAGAACCTTAGGGTTGTTAATCAATTCGTGACATCATTTCGTGCGACAGAGAATCGAGAAGGTGAATGCTGATAAATCGAAGGGAAATATTCTCCGATCTTTTTTCCAGGCGCCCAACGATAGACTTATCTACAAAATTCCAAAACTCGCCGTATGTTTCCGCTGCGAGGCCTCTATCACCAGATATCTATTACGTTACGTCTCCACTACACAATGATCTAGTCCTAGCCAATGCCGGCGTTTTTATTAAATAAACGCAGTCAGCTGGGAAATTCTAGCCGGCCGGCGTTTCGCTAGGTACTCGACACAAACAGGCCAGCTCCCAGCTAGGCTAGGAATCGGTGGCTAACACCGTTCGGTAAAAGTATACAGCCGGCCGCATTCAGGCTGTTCCGACGGAGCAGCTGTTGAGTTTCGGGGCCAAGGAATATAAACAGGCTGACAGGTGAAAGACCTCCACGTCGACTACAATTGACATCATCTACCACGGAGGCGTTTAAATGGCAACCTCGGCTCGCGAAGGAAACTGCGTTTCAGCGTCTAACAGCCGGAGTGTAACGCAGGTGTTTGAAAAAATCAACACGGTTATGAGGCCGGAATCATTCGGATTGGTGCTGGGACATCAGTAAGAAACGTCGATATTTAAACGTCCATGTCAAAATGAAAGAAAGGCAAGCGTCAATCGTGACACTTTCTATTTGTGTTTTTTTTATTTTATTGATACGTCACAAGATATTTGAAAACAACAGAAAATTGATTAATTTTTATGACTATGCAAAACTGCTAGTAGAAAATCATCGATCAATGTCGCCCGGCATTAATTCAGATCCATTTAATTGAAATCTATGCTTTTTTAGATGCACCGTGAGTTCAGTTGAAGACAGCACTTAAATTTGAACAATTTTCCTAATTTATCACATGAAGCGGTACTGGAACATCACTTAAGAGGGCTCTATAGCAAATAGCCAACCAGCAATACAATTTTCTAAATTTTATTACACAGTTTGTCTAAATATGAATTAATGCACAAATAACAGACTTTCCCCCATTTTAATGCAAATTTTCTATAAAACGGAGTTACTTTGAATCTCAAACTACTTTTTGTTGTAAAGAAATTTGTAATTTGAGTGTCACACTAACTCCATTTTATAGAAAATCTGCGACAGAATGGAGGAAAGTATGTTATTTATGCACTAATTCATATTTAGACAAACTG